TAGCCAATCAAACGAACCGACATCAAACAATTGAACCAATCAGCGCTCACACCCGATAGCAACGACGCAATCAGAACCATGTTTTGGTTGAGTTATGAGCATTTGCTCACAGATAACTGTGGTGCGCCTGCCCCGCCCACAAGGCCCTTCTAACCTCATTCAGTGTTGCGTGGGATCAGATACCATTTTTTTTTAAAATTAAATAGGTACCTATATCTTAAATGGATACGATATCTACTCCTTAAAATTAGCACAAAGGGAGTCCTATATTTTTATCTCGTGACCGCTGGAACAGAAATACACTCGCCGTCTGGGACAAACAATAAATCAGTTTGTGTCATTACACTTTCCAGTTCCAACCCTAGCTACCTTTTCACTAATTATTCTAATCATATTCAAAAGAGCCGTCGTAAATTCGAATTTGTTTGCTAATTGTACAGCTGCTATTCTGACACGTATTTACCCTGATCGGATTGAATACAATCGTAATTCACAATAATAAATTTGCCACCTGCGCACCCATCTCAGCAATGTATGCTTTTGCAATATTAATGTATACATAAGTCTTTCACGCAAACGCTTTTTGGTTAAAATGCCTTCTTCCACTTATTTTGGGTGTCGTAAAAGGCGACTAAGGGCGCATAGCGAGAAGATGACAAGCAGCAGCGTTTTGTTACTTTCGCAATCGCTGTGTCTGCTCTACACGACAACAGATGCATCTGCAGTTGCCAACTTCGGATACGTTTGACGCGACGTGTAAACGGGGTAGTTTGCGCGTCTGTGATAGGTATTTAACGTCCGCAGACGCGTCTGCCATCCATCCGTTAGTTGTCGGTTTTTGTGGCACGCAAGAAAGTGATTCAGCGCGGTCACCTCCGGCGTATCTGTCCACACATCTCACGACGCATCAGTAGTACTGGAGTTGCGAATGAGACGCATGTGGACACATGCTTGCAATAATTTTTTGCCCTTTTGTTACTCTCGTTCGCCGAAATAGCTAATATGCACTAACGAAACATTTAAATTCCTTGAGTAGTATTCAAGCAGAAAACTACCTGTGGAATCCGAAATATAGCCAGCAGCCACAACCTTCTTCTTTTCTATTACTTTTTCATAATTCTATTGCAATGAACCTCAAGTAGTTGTTAAAAAAATTGCGGCAGCAGCAGCTACGATCACAACATTTATTTTTATAATCTTGTGTGCGTACGAGTTGCGTCTGTTCAGAATGAACACAGACTGAATGATCTACAGACGTCGTCAGTCCTGTGGTCGGCTCGTGGTGATCCATCTGCTAATGCATCTGTCGACGTGTAGAGAAGCCATAATGCGATTACCAACACGTCTACCAAGCGTGGTGATTATGGCCAAACTCCCCAAAGATGTTTAGCACAATTAAAAATCGGCCCCTATCCACTGGCAGCCCAGCTAGTCCTAGCCACGGTAGGAGCTATGTTTATTTCTAAAAGAAGATGCGATTCCTCCCACGCCGGCTAACAAAAAAAGGATTTAAATAAGTAAAATGTTTTTGCATGTGTTATGAATACTTTTATACCCTAGGCGACGCTATCAACTAATGTTCAAGTAGTCCTTATTTCTAAATGCTTTAAGGTCTAAAATTTTTACATTCCATCGACAAACTTCGGCCGATTTATGTTTTAATTTTTTTTTGCTTACCTCAACCTCTGACGTAAATAGATAGACGTCGGCCTTTTTAATGTTTCTTTTATGGAGGTTCAATCCGGCGGGATCATAAAATTGGATATTCGGGAACATTTGCCACAATCTGCTCTGCTGTAGGTACCCACCGACAAAAATTAACATAAAGATTGTTTTAATGAATCTTTCATATTTGTACAGCCTTAAACATTTCTCCAGATGGTGATTAATTTTTGATCGTTTTTTTGTGGATTTTGTCCTTTTTCAGCCGTATATCTATTACCAGCTGTGCCCCGCGGTGTTACCCACGTTGTTATTAGGGATATTTCTCCGCAGTAAAACGTAGCCTATGTGTTAATCCATGGTGTCAGCTAACTCCATACCAAATTTTATTAAAATCGCTCCAGCTGTTTAGACGTGAAGAGGTAACAAACATACACACTCACAAACTTTCGCCTTTATAATATTAGTGTGATTGCCCATCCGTCCGTCATAAGGAGGTTGTATAGCAGTACTAGCAGATGGCCGCGACTTCGTCTGCATAGAAAATTGATTTTGCATACAAACTTGTACACCCTGTTCCTCTCTTTTCACTCTCTTAAATTATTATTTATAGGTTAAAAACTAACCTATGTCCTTCCCCGAAACTCAAACTAAATCTGTACCAAAATTTAATAAAAATTGGTTAAGCGATCTAGGCGTGAAGATGAAACAGACATACAGACACATTTCCGCTTTTATAATATTAGTATATGGATTTCATGAACCGTATATTTTTTTTAGTATAGCAGCAAATACATACTTGGCCCTTTCAGTTTCATCAACCTATTATTTCCCCACTACTGAAGTACAGACCTTCTCGTTGGATAGAATAAGGATCATCCATCACCCACGACATCTCGGCTAAGAATAATAAATTTCTTATACAAAATATTTTTCCCCATTTCAGCTCCTACAAGTTTTATTTTTACATATACATTAAAATGGTTGAGTAGTACTAAATATCGTTTCTTCTTCTTCATAAGCCCGTGTCACCTATTGCCGGCTAAAGGCCTGTTCATGGTTTCTCCACGCGACCTGATACCTCGCTACTTGCATCCAGGTCTTGTCCACTATCTTCGTGATTTCGTCGGTCCAGCGCATAGGTTGCCTTCTCATATCCTTTCATCATTATATTATCCTAAATGTAGTATGTTACTTTCTTTAATAAAAACACAACTTCTTACCATTTATTTACGAGTCGATCGTTTTTATATAAATCACAATATCTCCTTTATCGGCATACTAAAATGCATTAGAAATGGTTTAGTAGTACCTACTAAAATAGTGTTTTAAACTTTCATGGTCACTAACATTATAGTAATATAAGTTATTTACGGAATTGTTACCATGTATCTTGTTTTTAGCGAGTTTCCGATATTTCGGCACTGTTGTGTACGTGTGTCACGGAGTTACTCCGTGATCATGGCGCTTGTAACAGTGCCGAAATATCGGAAACTCGCTAAAAACAAGGTACATGATAACAATCCCGTAAATAACTTATATTACTATACCTACTAAATATTGTATACCTAATATAATGTTACTTCATTTAACATAGACACTAGTCTACACTGTTTATTTACGAGACCGTCGCCTCTATATATAGCGCATTTAAAATTAACCCCCTTCTATGCTAGTTCGAGAACTAGAACAACCTCCTATTAATCAAACGGCTCGTCGGACGCGCCGTAACGATATATCTAAGAGTCAGACAGAGATGGAGAGAAGTGTAGATGAGACAATAGTTTTTGAAATTATTCGCCACCCCTACCCGGAAAAATGCGAGACAACACATTTTTGGTCACCCATTCTGTGACTACCAAATAGACGAGATATAATGACAGGAACATTTGCTGATGATACTGCCATACTTGCTGTTGATAAAACACCTAAGGGAGCATCGGCAAAATCGCAACAAAACCTGAATGATATCTGAGACTGGCTGAAAGACTGGCGCATAAAGGCAAATGAAAGCAAATCAGTTCATGTCACCTTTTCCTTAAAGAAAGATACATGCCCAGAAGTGGAATTAAACCAAATTAAGATACCGCAGGCAGATGAGATTCGATACTTAGGAATCTGCTTGGATAGACGTTTAACCTGGAAGAAACATATATCTACAAAAAGGAAAGCACTTAACTTACAATTAAGAAAGCTTTACTGGCTCATGGGAAGAAAATCTCAAGTCTCTCTAGAAAATAAACTCCTTCTGTACAAGTGTATACTTAAGCCAGTTTGGACTTATGACCTACAACTATGGGGTACAGCCTCTATATCCAACATAGAGATACTGCAACGCTTTCAATCAAAAGCCCTACGAATGATAACTGGAGCACCATGGTATATGACAAATAATCACCTGCACCGTGATCTAAAAATCAAACCTGTCAAAGAAGAAATAAAGGACTCTTACTTTCCTATTCCAAAAGAATACAAAATCATCCTAACCAACTTGCAAAAGCTTTGATGGAAAAGCAACCAAACTATTTTAAGAGACTAAAGAGACGTGCTCCTCAAAATCTTCTCTAACACAAACACAGAAAAGTCAAAATAGATGGGCATATCATTGGATCATGTACCATACACGACATCTTTTTCCAAATTCATAAAATCCAGCTTAATGTCGACAAGACAGATTGCAGGAAAAAAAAGCGACTTAAAAAAAAAACTGACTGTTAATTTCTTGAATTTTGATAGTTACCGCATTCGACGTTCCGCCCAGCATGGGTTTGAAACAAAAGTGCAAAGTAAACTTCAATGTTTATCCCATCGTTTATCCTGTCACGAAAATGAACCTTGTCCACTAATGATCATTACACTAATGTGTTTACTAAACCAATATTGAAGTTCTCTACAAACTAATAATGGGTTAACGCAATAAGGGAAAGAGAGGTATTCAGTTCGGAAAATGGAACCCGTAGGTTGCTTTGTTATCAGTCCATCTGTCGGTCTGTAAGGACCTTTTACTCAGGAAAGCGTGAAAATAAACTTATAAGTAATATGAGGTCTGCAACCCCTTAAAAGAAGTGATAAAATCAAACTTCTAAGTCAACGCAATTAAAATATATGGCTGACCAAGCTTACTTTATATTGCATATTATCTTGCAAGAAGCAATGCCAGTAAGCACGAGTAAAGAATTCCAAAAAATGAGAAACCGGGAAGAAAGATGGTTTTTACTAAGTAATACTATATATGTAGTTATTTACCTGTCCTTAGATCTTACATTTAAACAATTTATTCGAATATCTTACTACAAGGAAAACATAAGGGAGAAGATTTATGTAAATTGTTATTGTTCCAGAAACCGCATCGAGAGGACAGCTTCGATACGATGGCGCGGCTCTATTCGACGGCTCACGGCTGCTGCCATTTGTAAGTGAAAGCTCTTTCCGATTTATTACAGCCTGGTACGTTTTGAGTACAAAGTATTAGTAAAATTATTTACTCTATTTTGTGTCTTGGAGCTAGATGGCTGAGATGGTTAGCGCGTTCGGCCTGCGATCTTGGAAATTAAACAACTTTCACAATGGTCGGTCATTGTATTGGTGACCAAAATCTTATTATCTCGAGCTCTTCCTTGCTACGAAAGGCACGTTTAGCCATTGGTCCCGGCTGCATTTGCAGTCGTTGGTCCCACAAATTCGTACTGGGCCCGCGTGGTGGGTCTTGGCCCAATCTCCCTACGCCGTTCATTGAGAAGGGTTATGGCCCTACAGTGGGGGCATTAAGAGGCTGTTGATGATGATGACTTTATGTCTTTCCTTATTCTATATTGCGTTATATATTAAAATGCTTTGATTGCGAACATTATAATATAGCTAGCAAAAATTCATTCCATTTCACACATTTCCGTCAAATCTGGTAAAAAATGTGCACACACCTACACACATAATATGTAATTTATAACATCATAAGGATAAAAAGAAATTGGCAATTTTTTGTTATTAAAGTTGAATTTACGAAACAACTGTGTATTCTCAAAACTCAGCGAATATGAACGGTTTTAGGAATGAATATGAATGAGCATTGCACACTTGTAACATTATTTTTAACCAATTTATACGGTGAATATGCGCATTTAAATTTTTGCTTGCAAAATAATTGCCGCTATTATTCAGGCGGCTATATTTCATGAAAGCTTTGTTCAAACACAAGGGATTCTGCAGTTGAATTCGCGAAAATGTAGCGTTCATCCTTACATCCATTCTTTCATGCTAGTACATACATATACTATTTTAAAGTAACTTTGAATATTTATCTGTAACATCTAAACCGCTCTACTGATTTTGATGTATTTTATAAAAGAGCTAGCGTTGGAAAATTGACATATTTTTCTGTTACAAAACAAACAAAAAATTAAGTAACAGGAATGGGAACATATGGGGATATGTTTTACATAAAACAAAACTAACAATAGTAAATTGTTGCACCGAGCGCAAAGTGAGTTATTAATGCACGAGTTCTAAGCAAGGTGCATCTTATTCTATAGTAGCTATGCCCGCGGTGTTACCAGGGATTTATTAGGGATATTTTCCCGCTGTAAAACGTAGTCTATCTGTTAATTCAGGGTGTCAGTTAACTCCATACCAAATTTAATTAGAATCGCTCCAGCCGTTTAGACGTGAAGAAGTAACAAACATACACACACACACTCAAAAACTTTTGCCCTTTTAATATCAATGTAATATCTTCTTTTTTTCATCTACCAACCCATCTAATATGATAAAATATACCTACTAAAAATAAAAATCTCATATTAATGAAAACAAAATTTAATTCATATTCTCCTGAAACATTTAAAATGTACAAATTATTAAATGCTAAAATTCTCACTTCTACCTTCTTTACGTTTCTTTAAAGAATAAATTAGTGGATAAAAATGTTATATGTTTTATTTAAATTTTAAACTAGCTTCCAAATAGAAAACTGTTTATTGAAAAAAAAAATACAAGTGAACACTAATACGGCAAAATTAGTTGTTGTTCGCCATTGATTTTGCAAAGTAAAGTATTGTATATACAAATAAAAAGTTCTGCCTTAATAAATTTCGCGCATTTTTTTATAAAAGTCAAACATCATAGAGATGAGTTTTAAACAAGCCTGGTACCACAACATTGATGGACTTGCGTATGTAATGCACTATCGTTAGTCTTTTATACAGTATTAAATTAACACATTAGTAATGCATTAAATGCATTATTAATTATATAAATTATATAATTATTATTTTTGGCTTTTTTTTTATTGATAAGCACAAATATTTGTTTGTATTAACTAACTAATAATAATAGTTAGTTAATTAATAATTCCACTAGCTCTGCTTTGCTAAATAATTATTGTGATGAGTTGTTCAGAACTACACAATTAACAAATTATTTTGGAATTGGAACTGCAATGAAGTTTTTAAAATAACATTAATTAAATTTTAAAGCAAAGCGATCGAATTCGAAACAATATACAATACCAAAGTGAAAATGTAGTTTTATTTTTCTTTTTTACTCTCATACAACAGTTCCTTTCAAGTAGAAATAAAATGCTAGTATAACACTTACAACTTTATACTTAAAAGTTCTCTCTTGTGGTTTGAGTTTCGCAGTGAGCTACGAACTAATTCCACGAAGTATATACATTATAAATATTTATATAGGTAGATATCTACTAAAACTTAGGATTGCATTAAATTTAAAATCAAATACTTGTACCTAATACCTATTGCGGTTTATATTAAGGCCTTCAGTATTAAAATTAATTTAATACTGAAGGCCTATTTGAGAACATGTACTTATAAAAAATAGAAACGATAATCACTTCAAAAGAATATATAACCAAAAATCAGCCAAAATTAATGTCGTCACTTTGTGAAAAACTACAAATACATATATACGCCTTTGAAAGATATTATATGAGGCCAACTTTGTTACATGAGACGATAATTTTTCAGTGTATGCTTGTGCGTGCCATCTTAATCACTCGCACACTGCTGTCTTCCGGTCTGGACTTTACTAGTAAATCAACAGGGACATTTGACTTAAATTTCTGGAGTTAAAGTCCAAAGATTTTAAAGAATACTTTGACCTTCAGAAAAACTTTATTACCAAGATTCGATGTGGTTGAATGCGAGCCAAAGAGATTTCAATCAAGTAACATCTTAAAGCTAAGACAACAGAAGATCTTTAAACTGCAAGTCATATAGACTTTCATCTAAGATTTTTAGAAAAAAAAAGTGAATTCAGGTCTTTATTTATTTATTTTAAGCAATTAAACTGCTTGTTTTTTACCTAAATGTAAAAAAATATACTATAAAATATTGCACTCGGCTAGGTGTTTTTCTAGTGAAACTGTTGTAAATGTTTCTTTCTTAGATTATCGCTCGATTTGCAGTGAGGTTTCAGGGCTCCACGGGGCAAGGGATAGATTGAGTCAGGCAACGGTGCGAGTGATAATCCTGGTATCGCAAGCCTCTATTTAACATAAAAAAATATTTTTCAGATAATCTCTCCTGCTTCACTCACGGGTGCAGCACGGGATGGGTGTCCGGGGTGCTTGGCACCGAGGCGTTAACGGGAGGTGCCTGGTTAGCAGCACTACCCTGCCTCGTGGCTCTGCCCGCTGCGCCGTTCTTCGCCGTGCTAGCAGACACTAGAGGGCGCAAGGCCGGCGCGTTTTGTATCTGCATCAGTTTCATTGTAAGTCGAAGCTGACAAGCAAAACAGACGCATTGACGGACGGTGACTGGTTGGTTCATATCTTCTTCCAGCTTTCATTTTCTCGTCGGAAAAAAGGTTTCACCTGGTTTGAACAATTTAACTTCATACATTTTTTTTACTTCCATCCTTTACACCCTCATTTATTTTCTCTTTCGATTTTTCTCTTCTTCCTTTCTCCTCTCACTGTTAATTAATCGTCCTCTGCGATTTGTCACTTTCTCACCCATATGACTTTCCTGGTACCTCACGCGGCATCGGATACTGAAAAGCTATTCCGCTGTACATTTAAACTTTCCTCATTATAACTTATCAGATGACCAACCAAATAGTTTAATACTAATTTTGTGAACAAGAGTAACAAAAAAACACACGCAAATAAGACGCGTTGACAGACGAAGACTGGCTGGTAGCACTGCCGTGCTTGGTGGCTCTGCCCGCTGTGCCGTTCAACACTATACTGTATCAGTTTCATTGCAAGTCGAACCTTATACGTAAAGCGAACTACTAAACGCACACAAAGTAAAAAAGAAGACCAATGGATAACCTTTGTAGAGGGCTGCCGGATTATATATGCTGTCTGAAAATGAGTGATTGTTGTGTCCGATTTTGATACCACTAATATAAGTGGTTCGATCACTTCTATTGGAGTTAAAGCAACGATCGGGAAAGTGCTATGTGTAAAAATATAATAAACTTACCGTTATTTTGTTTACGGTACAATTATTTCATAGATTTTTAATAGCAAAATCACGAAATGTGAACAAAGAATGTGACAGCTACCACTTAAGGAGCAGATAGTAAAACTGACAGCAGACGGGACACCTATCACTGTATTTTTAGATAGTCTGCTCAAACACAATACCAAAATATGTAGTAATGATTAGCACCAAGGGACTGATTTTTAACCCAATATTTCCTACCTCTATCTTTAAAGTTCTGCCATCTTAGCAAGGAATATGTCGCGAGAAATAAGAAATACATTATTATGGTCGTTGTCAAACCATTATCTGCTTTGTGCATTGAATAGGTAAAGCTTTAACATAGCAATTAATATTTGCAAATATTCTGGCTGATGCACATAGCATATATTTTAAGCAACCTTAATGCACCGTTATAATACGTAGTTAATAATACTAAAGATTCCCATAGCAGTCTTTGTATTCATAAATCGGTAAGTATACTAGAGTATAGTAATCATAATGATGGAAACAGCGCAAGTGCACATAACAGATATTAGTTTGACAACGACGATTATGCTGTTTGCCGCAGATCAGCTGGTCTCTGGCAGCATGGTGTGGCCCCAGGGGCGTGTGGGCGGCGCGAGTGGCCGCTGGTGCGGGAGGAGCGGGTGCTTTAGCCCTAGCACCCCTGTACTGTGCAGAGATAGCTCCAAGGACAAGAGGGTTGGCAGCAATGCCGGCATTAGCTTGCAGGTATGGAGGATATGGATGAAAGGAAAGATTTGCCGCTCAATGGGGGTTTTTTTGGAATGACGGGCGCCATGTGGCAGAACTGAGCCGAAAGGTCTACTCATCCGTCAAATCGCGTAAGTTTTCAAAGTCTATGGATCAATTTTAAATGCTTGTTGAATCAGTTCGCGCAAAACAAAGAAGCCTTTTTGTAGGCCGGCAAGGTGAGGATGATTGGTGTAGCAGTTTATAACTGCTGTACCAGCTAACCTCGCATTTGGACTTTAGTACCAATTAACATCAGGTGGGGTAGAGTCATTTGCCTTGCCACAAGACCTTGTCACAGCAGCGCAACGTAATAGTGTCATAAATTTTCATAAACACTCTCATTGGGAATCACAGATAAGTTAGAAATGTGGGACTTTATTGTCCATCCCGAAGCAAGCCTTTGAGAATTTTGATTAAATTGAATTTTGTGTGCACAAGTATGTATAGTGCGATTGAAACTTTAAGCAACTATGAGCAGGTTTCGATTCATTGATATCTCGCAAGCACCTACATCACACTATGCTTCGTTTAATGTCCCGCAACTTGCTTTAACTTCGCAGTTGCCATTAACTTTGAATCGCATTATCATCATCATATAATTAATGTCTCCACCAATGAATAGGGAGAATAGGCCGTGAACGCGGGCCTAATGCGGTGAAAAGTGTTTAACTTTCACGATCGCAGGTCGAACGCGCTAAACACTTGCGCCATCGAGCTCCTCACAATATCCTATTTTATCTTACATTAACTATTATTAAAATATAATTAAGGACATATAAGATTCAACATCATGCCTAGTAGGTCCCATCTGCTTACATTCCTTCCTTATAAACAAAATCGACTTTTGGAGAGAGAATTCCTTATGAAGAGCTGGATATAACCCACCCCAAGACCTTAGTGCAAATTGTTAGCTGCTAACGATTACAAATTCAGCCAATGCTGTCGATTTGACGTATCTTCTTTTATAAATTTTATGTACATACTTGTAATGGTGAACTGTCATTTTACATACTACAAATTACTTCACGCCAATGCCAAATCTGATGAGAAACAAATAAATTAAGAAAGATACCAAAAACAAAAATAAATAATGTTATTTAGAAAAAAGTATAAACATAAATACTTTAAATTGGTTTCTTAAGTTTTTACGCACAACTCTCATTAAATGAAACACGTTTTGAGCAGGTACAGTATAAATGCTTTTTTAATACTTTTTACAATATTTTTTGACGCTTTGCAATCTTTTTAAGGATATGTCGTCAGAAATACCCTGAAAAGGTTGTTACGAATAAGCTCGAGAATTCTTCGTCCGTTCTATGATCTATGATTACCAGGGCCGTAGCTTGAGGGGAGGGGGGCATTATGGGGCAATGCCCTGCCATAAAATACCATTGTCTTACTAAGGTCCTAGAAAGGCAGCACGCCCATGCTTATGCTATCCTTACTTACATACAGAGGCAATCTAGAAGTAATCTCCACCTAAGCGTTGAAATATTTCAGTTGCGGGATCCTATTTGCGTACGCAGCGGGTGGTGTGCTGTCCGCTCACGCGCTCTCCTTGTCAATGGCGGTGCCACCGACGGTGCTGCTGGTGTCCTTACTGTGGCTTCCAGAGACCCCGTCGTTCCTTATCAGCGTTGGAAGGATACAGGTCCGTGAGGAGGCTTATCAGACTTTTGTTCCAATAGCCGAAGTTATGGTAACTTCAAACTTGTCGGTTTGGAAGAGAAGGCGCACACTCGGTAGAATTAAAACTTATCCAGTGCAGCAAATAGAAAAAAAAAACTTTGCTCCATAGGTGTATGATTATAAATTTTATGTACATACTTGTAATGGTGAACTGTCATTTTACATACTACAAATTACTTCACGCCAATGCCAAATCTGATGAGAAACAAATAAATTAAGAAAGATACCAAAAACAAAAATAAATAATGTTATTTAGAAAAAAGTATAAACATAAATACTTTAAATTGGTTTCTTAAGTTTTTATGCACAACTCCCATTAAATGAAACACGTTTTGAGCAGGTACAATATAAATGCTTTTTTAATACTTTTTACAATATTTTTTGACGCTTTGCAATCTTTTTAAGGATATGTCGTCAGAAATACCCTGAAAAGGTTGTGAACTTTAAAAATACTGTAAAAATGTATTAAGATTGCATTTTTATCCGTTCAAAATGTGTTTCATTTACTTTTCTACAGTTTGACACTAAACAAGACACTGTTTAGTATAAGCCATGAAAAAACCAAACCAGTACCGTGACACTGATTTTCAACAGAAGCCCTAGAACCTAGGCGCTCTAGTGTAACTTATATAGATTAAATATAGTACTTTGCATATAAATATATATGGCATGGTTATGTGTGCCTTAATACTAAATAATGTTTATTGATCCTATACTTTATCCACCGTATGAGAACAAAACTATCCAAATTCTTAAAATTCATCAAAATTCTTTCAGGATGCAGCAAAGGTTATATGCTGGTTTGATGGCTCCGACTTCAGGGAAGACTTGACTGACGTCATCGAGCAGCAAGAAGTCAGGATCAGGACTTCAGACTGCTACGGAGGGCGGAGAGAGGCGATGCGGCGCCAAGACTCGGATACCTTCCAGCCAATGCTGAAGAGGAGCAGCGGATTAGATTCCAACTCGGACAAGAAAACTGAACAATCAGCATGCAGAGAATTGTGTAAATAGAGTTTTAATAATAATTGTTACTTTAATTAATGCTCAAATGGTGTGTCACGCACCATTTGAACAGTGGAAATCGGCCGCCATAGTCTATGGAAGCTCCCGCTAACAAATTACTACCTATATGTTAAAGCACAGCGGATTTACCGCTCGAATTAGAGCACCCGTCGGGAGAAGTAACCTCCATCTTACACCACCGTAAAATAAAAGTGCTTTTTGATGGTGTTTTCTTTCTACTGATGAGTAGGGTTCCAGAACTCCACGGAGTAGGTGATTGGGTTCAGGCACACTTCTGCCATATCATCTATCTATCTTTGCAGGTGGGTGGGTAATTTGATGATCCACTATTGCTCTGGCACCTTACTCACCGATAGAACCATAACACCTCCAAAAGGTAATGGTAGTTTATGATGACCACTCACCCTCCTGCCGCTTAATGAAGTGGATTGATCAAATAGGCTTTATCAAGCCACTGAACCTGTGTACGAAGCCATTTTGGAAGAACTGCCATTTGACAGAAAGTTTTTTTTTATAGATAGGTCCGACAAATAACTTCACCCGACCTGATGTTAAGTGATGGTGAAGTCCAGACGTGAAGATAGCTGGTACAGCAGTTCTACCTGCCACACCAGCCGTCCTCACCTTGCCGGCCTGCATGTTGCTTCTTCACGCCTCTTTTAAAGGATCCCAGGTTGTAAGAAGGAGGGAATACGTGAGCAAGCAGAGCATTCCATTTACGGATAGTGCGATAAAGAAATGAGTCACCAAATTTCTTTCTACGCGATGGAATTTTGGCTTGATCAAGCCTATTTGATCAAACCACTTGATGCATCTTCATCACGATGGTGAGTGGCCACCATTACTGCGGTCTTTGATAAGCTGGAGGCTGCTTCCCCAGTAGGGTGCTACAATTCGAGCGGGAGATCTACTATGCTGTACCTCTCATAAATTATCTATTTAACTTTCTTCACGCCGTGTTCCAGGTTGGGTAGGTAAAAAGAACACAGTGCAATTAGGACTCGGTCCGGACACATATCTTACGCTTCATTCACATTCATTACTCATTTCATACACGCTCGACAGTTTTTGCGGCTTATAACGTCACCTTGGTACTACTACTACCTTAAGAATGCCTTCCCAGCTTCTACATACTCATCAGCAACATTATTAGCCCAATAATGTCGCTACTGCTGGAGCACAAACCTTCCCTATGGAGGGTGGGATTGCTAACGACTGCAGACGCAACAGGAACTAACGGCTTCGTGCCTTCTGAAGCATAGAGGAGCTTGAGATAATATTATTAGATCATCCATTCACTGCCCGACTATTGCCAAAGTTGCTTAACTTTCACGAAAGAAGACTAAACGTGCTAATTTAACTTGATCGGTTTTTGGGTTCTCTATAAGTATTAAATGGACGGTATATTTCCCGCTGTCATAGTTCGACACAAGAAGTCCCGACGGGCTCTGTTCTCTTGCTGCGTACTGCTGTGCACCGCAGCGGGCAGCGGCGCCGGCGCGGTCAACAGCTTCGCGGCCGCGGTGCTGCGTCATTCCGCACACGCAGTGCCCCATCTCAACCTGACCGTGTACAACTACACTATATACAATGGGTAAGTACCCTGTAGCAAAGATATCTTTGCCCTATAGTCACTGAACTCTCCTTTACTACAGTTAGACACAGGAAGTCTCAAAGGGTCCTATTCTCGCAGTCAACAGTTTCACGGCCGCGGTGTTGCGCCATTCCATTCACCCATTGAACCACCTCAACCTGACCGCGTACAACTACACTATATATAACGGGTCAGTACACTATAGTCACTACACTCTCATCTAGTACAGTTAAACGCAGGAAGTCTTGATGGACTCTGTTCTTACACACAGACACAGAGGCATGCGCGGAATGATGCAGCATAGCAAGCACGAAGCTGTTGACTGCGAGAACAGAGTCCATCAAGACTTCCTGCGTTTAACTGTAGTAGATGAGAGTGTAGTGACTACACTACTATTTCTTCTTTCAAATGTTGAATACTTGTAAAGGTATTTATTTGACATTGTGGGTTACCTACAATGTGAAGAGATTGCGCTGCCTTGAAGCTTAAGAAGGACTAGAGACAATTCGACACGGCCATCAGGGCCTTGGTAGCATAATGGTCAGTACATTCGCCCGGATAGCGGAGGGTGCGGGTTTGAGTCCAGTCTGCTGCTTGGTCTGCGTGGAACTTATCTAGTAAAAATTTCTTTAGATTTAAACATCTAGCAGTTACATGATAAAATAATTAAGAAATATAAGATATAGTTTTTTGTAATATTCAATCATTTATTAAAATTAAATTATTAAATGCAGTAAAAGGTACACTTTAATAAATCAATTTTATGAATCACCATTGATCTTGTCAGTCTCAGTTTTTAGGTACTACAGTCTTGCTTTTGTCTATTTGAGATGCCAATAGGAAAATCCGCTACACCCTTTCTAACCGCCAATTTCTGATTACCCTCTGGACTGATACTACAAGATACAGTTTTTTTTAATACTTATTTATTTATCGAAACCATAACATTACGTGTTAACAGTAAAAGGTACACTTAAATAAATCAACATTATAAATCACAGTGGATCTTGTCAGTCACAGAACCGATGTTATTATTTTAGGTACTGCAGTTTATTTTTTGTTTATTTGAGATGCCAATAGGAAAATCCGATTTTCTAACCGCCAATTTTCTGGTTGTCCTCAGGACTGTTCATCACGCACTCTTTGAAACTTCAGTAGCCGGTTCAATGCTTTGTGGAACTGCATTAGTCTTAGGAGCAGCTGTGGCGACTATCACAGTAGATAAACTCGGAAGGAAGGTAAATCATTCAAACTTCATAGAACTCGAGCTTGAATAGGAATAACTAAAATAACTTTTGGATTCCTTCTACATTATTTGTTTAAGAAATTGGTACGTAATTATTGCTAGCGTATTTATATCAGAAATATGTATTTATTGAATATTAATTACCTTGGTTATTCCTACCATATAAAAGTGTTATTATACTTTCCAGATGTTACTACTGTGGTCTTGCTCAGGCATCGCTTGTTGCCTCGCTATACTAGGAGTATACTGTGACCCTCGTCTCCGCATGTACTCCTGGTACTCACACCGCTTGTGGCCTTATAGGAGAAGCCAAGATATGAGAGGAAGATACTTGGACCTACCTCAGAACATGACTGACAATCTTACCGTTAACGTCAACAGTAGTTTCATAAAGAATTATGTGAATGAGAGTAGACTGTTGCAGAAAGATGAGGAACATGTGAATTTGACTAAAGTTCAAGTTACGTTGGTGGAGAGTAGCGGCCCAAACGAAGATAGTACGGATGGAACGTTGTGGACCCCAATTATGCTGCTTTCTGTGGTGTTGTTCCTGTATAATATAGGTTTGGGATCCGTGCCTTATGTGTTGATATCGGAGATGTTTTCGATGAACGTAAGTAGTCCATTAATACTTTTGTTAAAAATTCTATTAACATTTTACTTCAGTCTGAATCGCCCTTATTGGGTGATTTTAAGGAATTGTGTTTATCTTGAAAGGTTTTTTATACATCATTTCGAAGCTCATGCACTATTTTAAACAGGTCCGGGGCCTTGCGTCGAGTTTCTTCATCTCCTGGATGTGGCTCAGCAACTTCTTCTTACTACGCTACTACGGCACCATCGCCGTTTCTCTTGGCCTCCATGGCACCTACTACATCAGCGCTTGTGTCACTCTTCTCGGCTCATTGTATATTCTACTTATAATACCAGAGACAAAAGGTAAGTGTAAATTGTAAATAGAATTTTAGTGGTTTTCGTTTTTACTGATTGTTTCAATAACTAATAAGGCTTGTTAATTATTAGTACTTGATAACTTAGTGATGCTGTTGATCCTATTGTAGGATGTATATGAGCCATACTGGCTAGATATAGTTTAAGTACTCTATCATACTAGGCTTAACACATTGAAAATATAGTCATAGCAAGTTGTTCGGAAAAATATACCAAATTATCAGGACTTAGTGTGTTTCATTCAGAGTTTTAACTGGTTCTTCCACTGTAGATTTATCTGCTATTAAGTACTTTATTTTGCATTAGTTCAAGTACTTTTACATAAATTACACCTGCAGATAATAATGATCATACATAATAAAATTTATGAAATATAGTAATGTGGTCATCTTGAAGGTATGAACCATCATTCCCTGAATTCGCGTGAAGTTCTGTCTAAAATACGTACATCAGAAGCATAATACAACAGATTATGTGCCTATGAGGTGATCAGGTTATGTCCATAGGATCCCCATAACCCTCACCTTGGGTTACTTAGTACAGAAAAGGACAATGTTAAAATTGGCCTAAGAACCAACACCAATTTGGCATTTATGATAATTCTTAGTATATTTTTTGTGATAATTATCAGTATTTAGATTGTGACGGACATTTCCAGTTAAGTAAGCTAAATTAAAAAGTTAAAAAATTATCTGAGACAATAACTACCATTTTAAGTGTATAATCTATGACAGCGCTGCAAACAAAACACTCTTTCTTCCTAATGCCGGTACTTCACTTGGCTATTCGTATTTGCTATTTTAAAACATGACATCAGTCTGTCCTTTTCATTCCTTATTAAGCATGACAAGGACAAACTGTTGTAAAGTGAAGGGCAGGCATAAAACTTGTTACTCTGTGGTTGTGGTGCAGGCAGTTTGCATTCGTAGTAATCTGTGGCATTCGTACATTCCAAAGAGTAATATAAACCAGAAAGTGTTATCTAAATAGTCTGTGAGTGCATCCTCGTTTCGGATTACCTGTTGTGTGTGTTTATTTGCGATTGTTTTTCCCATTATTTAACTATTTCGGCTATCTAATATGCCATCGATGTTACCAAAGAGCCTTATTACCAAGTGCTAGTGAACTTGTGCCACAACATCCTGAAAGGATCATACTGCCAAATTATTCAAGAGAACCTGATACAGATTCACGCTGCATATTTACACAATATACATGTGATATACAAATAAATGCAATATACTATATGATACAATTATGTGGAAAATAGTCAATAAATAAGAAGCAAAACTAGTTTGTTGTTACAGTTTTTATTTTATTAATGATTCCTACCTAACCAAGTTTTTCCTAATAGTTATTCTTTAAAATCCCACCGAATAAAATGAACTAGTTGTAATATTAATTCACTTCATACTAAGTTCATAGGTTGACCTATGTTTCATTGAATATTAAACATAATCTAAAAAAAAATTAGTTTTCCTAATAATTTAAGTTCTCAGAAGTGTCCGTCAATAATCTTTGTTTTTACGGTCATTTACTTGCGATTTCGAACCTAGAAAATAATATTTCATGATTGTTGGTTTTTAGGCTAACTATGTATGGACGCAGAACAATGTCCTTTAAACTTATCTGGGCTTTGGAATCAGAGGAATAGCGAGTAATTTTTAAATCAGCAGAAGTTACCTGATGTCCAACTAATTGATTTTTGACTAACATTTTCACAGGTAAGAGTCAAGAACAGATAGACGAAGCTTTAGAAGGCCCACTACTAGTTCTGAAGAGGCGAAAGAGCAGGCGATGACAATTCTCTAAGGTCCTGAATGTTCCTAGAACTTCAACAAGTGTACATACATACTAACCCTATGTGGAAATTGGAGATGTATATGCATGCTCTAATAAATAATCAATTACTCGTTATAATATAGGACGAAATATATTATATTTTATATCTTAGTTGAAGTATTCTCAAATGTAACCTTGATTTTAGATTGTTTAAACTTCATGTATATGTTTTTTATATTCAATAATAAGATTTTATCTTATACTAACGTTTAGTTATTAACAAAATGCGGCAGTTATTTTAATTTTCCTAGTGAACAAAACGTGTAAGTAGGTACTCGTTTTAACTTAATTTAGCTTGTTACAGTTTTAGCTCTGCTTCTATGTTACAGAGACATTATGGACCCATAATGGAAAAGATATATACTTTAAAAATTATTGAGTGCTTCTTAGCTAACTATATGGTTTTAAGACCTAATACCTATGTTTTTCTACAAATTCTTGCAATCACCACTGCCAAATGTGTTATTTCTAAATGTTGAATTCTTGTATGTATATTGTATGTAATATGCATTTATGTGATTGTCCAAAAATTCCCTAGGGAATAGATTAAAATATAGATTACAGTAATCAAAACACCAACTTAAACTTAGGTTAGAATTCGACTTCTATTATTCGACTACACGCATTTCGGTTACTTGAACATATAAATAAAATTTTGATCAGAAATAAATTATTTGATATAAAACATTTAATTATTGTAGTTTTGGTAATGAAATTATAAGATTTTACTTATTACGAATAAGAATTTTATAGATTTTAACTACAATCACAAGTTTAAAATAATAAGGTTCATAAAATTATTTTTAAGTCAATTATTAATATTGAGTTTTGCAGTCACAGAAATTATAACGTATTTTATCAAATTAATTTACCAATTAATTGTGTTTAACTTATATCCATATTGATTTTTGGATATACTGGCTGAAATATAAGGGTGGGTGTCGTGTAAATCGTTTAAAGTATTGTTCATTAAGTAACTTTTCTAATTCAATTATTTCAGTTCATTCAATAGAATTCCGTATTATGTGCTTAAAACATTTCGTAAAAATTACTACTGATAGAAAAACGATTCGCGTCTCAAAATGCCATGACACGAAATTTATAGCAAAGAATTTGACTGTCACTGATGATGTTAAACTTATTAAATTGTATATTGTAAGCAAAAAAATATACATTATAAGAATGTAAATATACCGTCCGGCAAACATCTTGAGCAAAGACTATAGACTTGGAAACCTGCGCAGTAGCAAATTTACATACAAAAACGTCTACTGCGCAAGTTTATTTGTCTGTGTTTTGCTCAAGAAGTTTGCCGATAAAATTAAATCTTTCTATCGAGTCATTTTCGACGTAGAACTATTGTATATAGTAACAAGATATTGTCTGAATTTATTCATGTGCCGTACAATATTTTTTTACTTTTAGATAGTTAAGAAACACAATATGATTATAATATGGTCGATGCACAAGAAGTTTGCCGGGGTGTTTATTAAAAAGAAAATTGGAATTGAATATAGCGGCTATTATGTTTACATAGCATTACGTATATTGTTACGCATCCCTAATGTACCAGGATCGTGACGTCAGCATCGACCCCGATCAACTTTGCACACCGCACCAGAGGCTCGAGGCGCAGAGTCAGCGGGACGTGTCGCTTGTAATTACCGTAGAATATTATAATTTAATATTTCATATTGTATTCTGCCATGGAGTGTAATAATAACACTGTAATTAAATGAAGTTACATAAAATTGCTTTTTTGGAACTGCAGATATCTTATTTCATTTACAAATATGTTATTATTATTAAAATCACACAGTAGATTATGTCTGCTTGTACATAAGTACAGACGGTAGATTATGTCTGCCTGTGTGCCGTAGCCTGCGTGTCGCCGACTTTTTTAATCCTTCATGTAAAACAGCTTATTGAAACTGTTAATGGAAGAAATGTTCAAATCTAGAGAAGAGTCAAAATCATACCTCACGGATATATTTTTATTTGCGCACTGTACCTTTTTATTGTATAACACATCCAGCAGTGTCGTTAATTATAAACACTAAAATACGATTAATTACTTAAGTAGTTACTAGATACTAGAATCCTGAGTGTCTAAAGTTTAAACTATGTACGTAGTATTACTTGAAGAAGAATAACAAGAAAATATTTTGTGACATATTTTTGTTACTTTAGAAAATGTTTATGATGAAATGCTAATTTTCACGAGTTTATTATTGTGATGGCAAGTTTACAACTGCAGGAAAATAAAATCTTTTTTTTTGATAATTATTAATAGGTAACATTTACCATTTTCAATCAGATATATAAAAGTTAAATACGAACTTGTAGATTTGTATTAGATGTTATTTTTATATTATAATGAATCATTCAATTAATTAAGGAATTGAAATGAAATTATCAATTATGCACCAAAGATATTGTGTACATAAGTATTATCATTTTAGTGAGTAAAACACGCGCTTAGGTGAGTATTTCACGAACGTGCATGAAAATAAAAATAATCTTGTAGATAATCCGAACTATCCAAGCACTTAAGGTTGCCTTTACAGACGTCATTTAATATTAATAATTGTAAAATCACTTGTCTATTTCAAGAAATTCACACCATTAACTTGGTAAAAATAATCTTAAATAATATTTGCCAGCTCCACATTTTCCTAATAAGTTCTAGAGCCAGAAAACTTCTTTACCATAGAAATATTGATTCTAATACCATGTGATAAAGACAATGTCAAACGCAGCCTTATATAATTTTATTATATATATAAATATAGCACTAGCCTTATAGTGAACCGGCTATAAGGCTGCAGGCGGCAGTCCAGTGATTGAATCCAACGCTGTAATGCGACTGGAATAATGTAAACCGGCACTGGAATGTTCCCATTCCAGTGAGTAACCCAGTCCAGTGACCAGATTGGCGGTGTATTTTTTATTCCAGAAATCACTGGAATAGTATAGACTGCCACCCCAGTACTGGGATTGGATATTTGTCAGTGAACATTTTCGAACTGCTTTTTTGTAACCATTGTCACTATAGTTTAACTATTTTAACAGTTTTTAATACTGGCATGTGTACAGTATAATCCAATCCAGCACTGGACTGGATTCATCATCATAATCATCATCATCAACCCATGCTCGTCCACTGCTGGACATAGGTCTCACCTAATGCACGCCACTGCTCCCGATTTTCGGCCACTCTCATCCAGCCCACTCCAGCCAGCCTACGAATGCCATCATCCCATCTTGTCTCAGGGCGTCCTACACTACGTTTACCGAGTCGTGGTCTCCACTCAAGAACTTTCTGGCTTCAACGGCCGTCAGTTCAGCGGCTAATGTCACCCACTGCCACTTCAGTTTGCTAATTTGGTGGGCTATGTCGGTGATTTTGGTTCTCTGTCGGATTACATCATTTCTGATGCGGTCTTTCAGGGATACTCCGAGCATTTATGGACCATTTCTGTACATAGAATAATGTGTACCGGGCATTACATTTACATCGTGCGCTCGTGAAATGCTAGCTAATGTATACCAGTTAAACTCTAGTTCTAATTGGGCTACTGCCAAAAGAAGATGTGTTCTATTTAAGGAAGTCGTTGCATGTAAAAAGGCCTGACGAAAATCATGAAGAAAATTTGTATGTGGTGATGTAAAGGCAAAGGAGAGAGTACCTATTGTCTAATGTAATAAAATGTTAAGAAACTTTCTCATCAGAATGAGGTTAGAAATCAATTACATTATTAGTGAAAGAAAGCGCGACTCAAAGCATTTTTTTTCGTAACTAATCAATTTTTACTGTAAAAGTATTTATGGAAAAGTATCGATATCGAGTATTTGACGAAGTCCGTGGCCGAGTGGTTTGAACGCCGGGTTTCATGGTTTCGCCGACTCGAGATGACCCGGGTTCCAGTCCCGGTGGGGGCAGATGTTTGTGTGACGAATACGAGCATTTGTACTCCAGCCATGGATGTTTAATATGTTTTTCTATATAAATATATATGTACAGTATATGTATCCTATCCGTTACCCTAGTATCCTATAACACAAGCCTTACAGTGCTTACTTTGGGGCTAGGATAATTGGTGTGAGCGTCGGAAATATTTATTATTATTTTATTATTATCGCAATTTTCTTTCTCTATGAAAATTAATTAATTATTTATTAACAATAACTGTCTATATTTATTACTTTAAAATATAGACCCAATAAAAAAAATTTGAAGAATCTTTTTCACGGGAAGCACTTATATACACATCATTAAATCTTATAATTTCTAGAAATTTTTAAGATGAAACATTAAATCAACCGAGTGCATGCAGCGCGCTTTCAATATGCATAGAATTAAATAGGTAATAGAAACATATGAAACATATTCGCACAATATAATGAGATGTTGTTTACCTGATTATAGATTTATAATTGTGATTAGCCAAATTTTAAAATAGGTTCACTGTTTGTATGTGATGTTTTGTATGAATGGAATAAAGAGCTTTAAATGTGATTTTGTTTTCTATACATATATATAAATATACTTACCTTAATTTTATTTCAATAAATGACATCATTTATAGGTACGACATTATACAAATGCCAACAAAACCCTGAAAGTAAAAACTTTTAAAAATGAAACAAAATTATCCTTTACGAAACTTTAATATTAATTAACAAAATAAATACTTAGATGGAACCAAATACATATATCACATTCGATAAAGGAGAGACTATATGTATAACGAAATAACATAGTTAAACACGGTCACTTCCATTCGTCCTTCCCCCCCCCCAAGTTTTCTCCCCTTCGGTAACAAGTGGGAATTACAACATATCATATAATCTGACTGGACTCACCTTTACATTATCTACACACTCGTTAATTTTTTCACAGTAATAATATTAATATTGACTCTAAAATTGGACAGATCTTTCAAAAGTCACCATTTTGGCTCGAGTATTTTATTTATAAAAACTTTTTTACTATAACTTATTCTACATTTGGCATTTTACCTCGATCTTGCACATTAACGCAAGGAAATAATAACACATTACCTTAAATCAATGTATAACACGATCAAATAAAGAATGATATTGAAAATTCAACTCTGTCCCACTTGACAGTAGGAACTTCATAATGAAAAAGATAAACTAACTATTTAGTTATGATAGGGTAATTACTAAAGCTGCTATTTTCATTCCCATTCTTCATTTGACCATGTTATATTCAACACAAGTCTCGCCGAGTGTCTTCCATAGTGGATGACATTGGTTTTTATATTGCGAAATTAATGAGTAGGTACTCGGCTTTATAAGACATTTTTTACAAAAATATACTACATTATCACATCACTCACTGGAACAAATTATCTAGCTTATTAATAAATGCTTATCATATCATAATTAACGAAATCATTCTTTCACAGCGTACATTAACACTTGAATGCCGGTACTTCACTTGGCTATTTGTATTTGCTATTTGTAAACTAACTTGTAGTCTTAACATGCTTTATGAGGAATGAAAAGGATAGACTGATGTCAAATTTATAAATAGCAAACACGAATAGCCAAGTGAAGTGCCGGCATGAGTTTGACATACTGTCTACAGGTATTGTAGACCAAAAGCTTAACAACTTTGTTAGGTACCATTAAATTGAGATATAGTTCCTTATATTATTTTTCATTTTCGGATTGTAATATTAAACATTTATTGTTTCTCCACTAATATTTTTTTTATTTTTTTATTTCCTAATATCTTTTTCGCTTACTAAAAGAATCACAAATATTTTATGAGTAATTGATTATTTAACATAACAAATTGACTAAATCCTTTTGCAGTACCCTTACAGAACTGCACAATCTCCTCAATTGCAATTTTCTGAGCGGAACAACATTATTTTAACACCTTCTCTTCTGAATAGCTCTTAACAGTTCCTGATTTAATTCCACAACTGTTGCCATGTTTATTGCAGTTTAAATCATCTATAATAAACATTATCATATCATTTACAATCACAGCCTTATAACACCTTGTAGGATGTCATCGTACAGTTTTTGCGTCAACGGCACATATTCCCCAGATTTCTGGTCAAGAAAATACATAGGATCATCGTGTTGATTCAATGTGAAACCTTGTTCCATCAACTCTTTTTTCTTTAGTTTAAACGTCACCGTTAACGGTGGTGCGGGCATTATCCTCAAGAAGAGTGGTCTGGCATACGCCGGTAGAGATTTTAGCCCTTTCGCCAGTTGATTTAGGTCTACCCTTTTATCTGGATCTGCAATCGCCGCCATACCAGCTTTCCCTTCTACATTGGGTATCTGTAGAATTATATACAAGTTTTGATTTAATTAAGAAAATAATATTTTACGCTACTTACTTGCAAGATTTTATTTTATTTGACGTAAATAATCTAAAGTTTCTATGAGAAAGGGTTCTCTGGATTGGAAATCTGGTAAGAACTCGTGATTGTGTAGTGATTGACGCAGCATTTCATTACAGGTAATGTTTAGTACCTTTTCATTAATTAAATCTTATTTTCAGACTTGGTGATGTCACTACCTTGGTATGGAAATAATTTTAATGTTTTAGACATCGTTAATTATTAGAATCATCTAAGAAAAATTTAATTACCTTTACCCCGTAGACAACAGCGTCCTTCAATCCAATAAGTGTGCTAATAACTGCTTCCACTTCTGCCGTAGATACGTTCTCACCACGCCACCTATTTAAATCATTTACCTCGTTACTTATTATATAATATTTTCAACAAGACTGTGGTGTTGTAATATAAAAAAATCTGTCGACTATTATTTTACGATTTGTCAAATTGTTTTAATTGAAATTTGAATCATTATAATTAGCCTTGCAATGTCCAGGGCACAGGCCTTCCCTAATTTTACAGGAGACGAGTTTTTCACTCTATTTATATTATAACTTAATTTTCAGGATTTGAAGGGCGTTAATAATATATGAGCCACTAATGAATTAGTATTTAAACTTTTATGTATGGATGGTAATTAATTATACCTTATTTTACGGTTTTTATGTGAAGATAAAACAAAGGTGCACAAACAGAAATTCTGATGTGGACTTAGAACAAAACCACATTTGAAATAGGACTATGTGACTGTTTCATCGTTACTTGTATGTGTGATGATTATTTTATCGTATATCTGTCCCAGCGAACTTCGTACCGCCATAAAAAATAGGGGTTGGTGGTAGAAGGGTGAAAAATTAGGGTTGTATGTATTTTTGTATGATGTATCATAAAAAAATAAAAACAATAAATTTTGTAAAAAAAAAAATAAGGGTGGACCCTTAACATTAAGGGGGATGAAAAATAGATGTTGGCCGATTCTCATACCTACTGTTTATGCATATAAAATTTCATGAAAATCGGTCGAGCCGGTTCGGGTTAGTTCAATTACGTACACCGTGACACGAGAATTTTATATATGATTAAGAACCTTCTTTTTAATTCGGTTAATAATGAAGTATCAGGGATAGTTAATTTAACTATAATCAATACTGCCATGTGCAAAGTTTTAATTTTTGCTACTCTTGTCCACTGCAGACTTATCTTGGTCTGACTGTAGCATTTCACTTAGTTTAGCTAGCCAAATACGAAATGCAACAATATCAGTACATTTAGGGCACCGTTGTTTCAGCGTATTCCTACTGCGCATTATTTAAGAAGTAGATCAAACCATAATTTCCTTTATAAATAAGGAAGTTGCGCAGAAAATCCCGAAAGGCAACGCTGCAGTAGTAGCTAATATTTAAATAAACCTCTTAAGTACTTTGATGTAATTTTACCTGAAAGTATCGCCAGTTCTGTCTTTGAAGTAGAAATATCCGAAATGGTCCATGACCAATATGTCCCCAGTATTAAAGTAGCAATCTCCATCGACCTTCACGTTGCGGACCATCTTCTTCTCCGAAGCTGTCTTGTCTGCGTACCCCGCGAATGTTAGGATTGCCTTCTTTTTGTCTATTTTCCCCAAGAGGACGCCTACAAAAATAAAACAAAGAACTTTGATTACATGCACGCCTAAATAGAGCAATCAAATTAAATAGCTCTGTTACGCACAATGTGTGCGTGACTCTAATGTCAAATTATTTTATAGCAGTCGATGTTTGCGTGTGTTGAGTAGAGCGTATCTACCATAATATGTAGTAGATATTTTTTTCGGTGCTTCCGTGTAGATAATACGGTATCTAGACGTTTATATAATCAAAGACAAAGAACCTCTAAATTTGTGTTCAATATTTATAATTTTTCGTTTCACTATAGAAGATCCTTAGAAAAGTGTATTTTATCAAAATCATCAGCCCATGAACTGCTGATGAACTGACTATGGATATCAAATTGTATTATAGTTCTTTTTTGTTTTTAAGTGCACTTAATTAATGCAACGGAACAATTACCTGGTTCGTGTGGACCACAACTTATACATTTTCCGTTGCTGTCTCTCATGATTTCACCTGTTATTTCATCACATCTGAAAGAATAACATACTTTGAAATAGTAGTTGTATCAAATACTTATTGTAAAACGTATTGCGTTAGTACGTACTTGACTAGTGTAAGAGGGTATATCGAAGACACCATCCGACTTAGAAATCCAATAGCACCCACTTTTGAATCCATATTGACTGCAAACGAAAATAATGCTATTTGAAACATTTAAACAAAAACTAAGGTTAACCAACCATGTTACAATTAAAAGTAGACTATTAGCTAAGGTGCAGCATGAGCGAATCCATAGTCATGCCTCATTGACTCCACGTTTAGCGGTCGTATGTAAGATTATTTGACCATAAACAATAGTGGTAGGTTGCCAGTTTATCGAACACAACAGTTTCGAAATATGCCCTGTCCATTAGTAGGTTTATTATAACTACAATACTTATGGCTAAAAAATGCTCATGAACTTATTCACTACAATCGCTGCGTTTGGTTGTTTACAGGTAAGAATAAGTTCACGAGTAATTTGTTTTTTTTAAGGAAAACTTGAGTTTCTAACCAAGATTGCTGTTCCCCTCGGTAGCTCCATAGAACTCTAGCACTCTCTTCACCCCGAATCTCTTGATGAACTCCTCCCAAATCTGCGGCCTTAGTCCATTGCCCACAATGACCCTTACTTTGTGGGCTCGGTCGTTGGGTCCAGGAGGCACTGCGAGTAAATAACGACAGATCTCTCCGATGTATTGGGCTACCTACAATACGCATACAAAAAATACACCTTTGATTTTTTATCGTGGTATTTGAATTGTGTACAAGGTTGAAAGCTAGATAATTTTACATTCGTTATATATGAAGGCCTACTAGGAAAATAGTGCTCACAAAAATAGATATAGTAAGGTAAAATAGACAAAGTTAAACGCACAAAATCTAAAACTTTTAATCTATTTACTAATTAAGTGAATGACGATCTTCATTTAGATGATCGTTTTTATTTTTTGAAGTTAGCTCTCAGACATGAGAATTAACATCACTTCAAGAACAATATTGCCGAATAATGATAATATGAAGACGGGAAAATAAATCAGTATTAAATAAAAAAATGTACGTAATGGCAAGAAACGTGACGGAAATACTCACAGTGCAACCGTTCTTAGCTGCGTCACTCCAATAATTGGAAGCGGAGAACTTCTTCCGAAGTGTGACGGTACAACCGTTCACCAAGGCCTGACCGGCACCCAACACTCCGCCAGCCGTATGATGGAGAGGCAAGGGGTCATATATCACGTCTGAGGGGTTCAGGTGAGCTGATATGTAAACCCCCAAAGGAATCAAAAGGAACCTGGAAAATTGTAGTGTTCTGATTTATGAAACTTAAGAAATTTTAGGTAATCCTCCTTATATTTTAAATATGGTTTGTTACTCAATCATGCAAAAACTACAGAACGGATTTATATTAAATTTGGTAAGCTTAAAGTTTATGACTTGTATTGACAAAAATAGGATACTTTTAATCCCGAAAAATTTTACGTTCCTGTGAGATTTTCAAAAAACCAAAGTTAAAGCGGACGAAGGAATAAAATAAGGTTATTTATATTTTATTTACAGCAAAATGTTTTAGTTGGGATTTATATAAACCAGAGAAAAGCCGGCACCCACCACGCGGGAGCCAGTTGGTACCTGAGTGCTAACGCTGCTAAAGCAGCTGCAACCAACAACAGCAATAAATATTATGACTATGACCGACTTAGAGTATTTGGTCTCTAACCTTTATAGCGGCCATAGTTTCAAGATTAAATTAATATCATCATTATAAGTTCATTCCAACTTGTTACTAAAGTAATGGAATTATTGAAACGATAAAAGATAATTCTTCTTTATTTGGCTACAATAGCAACAACAAACACTAGAAACGTTTCCTTTGATAAGATCAGCCCTTATCGTACTAGTTTTTACTATAGTTACACAAGTTTTTGTTCGGCTTCAAAAGATAACAGATTGGTTTAAAAATTACGTGAGAAAATATTTGATAGAAAAGAAGAAATATTAATCTGTGTATGCCTTTAATTTCTCTCTCATTGATAGCGGCCATAGTTTCTACGGTATCGCCATCTCAGAGATCCAGGTGATTGAATTTCGCGAGATTTTCCACACATGTTAAAATGATTTTAACATATTCTTCTTCGAAAATTTAAATTTGGGGATTTTCTACTTGGCTACGATAGTTCTGATTAACCAAAGATCTTCTCATGAGAAATCTTTAATAAGGGTAATTCCTAATTATAGCTATCCGTTAGCCCTTTTGGTTTAACGTTGATAAAACTTCGTCGGAGTAAAACTGGCCAAACCAAATTCCATAATCCCCTTCTGACTGTACGTCAACTGTAAATGTTTTGAAAGTGAAACTTCTTCAGGCACGCTTAACTTGGGAGGTAAACTGGCTAAATGCGTTACGCGTTACGAAAAGTGTGCTCGGGCGGGGTGAACGGGAGTTGAGTGGTTCACTTCAGTCGTGTGGTCATAAGCACATTCATTTCTTTTTGTTTAAATCTTAATCCAGACTAGACCTACCGGATATTTGTGATGATTGCAGCTTTAGGAAACCCTGTAGTACCGCTTGTGTAGATATACAACAGCGTATCTCTCGGTTTCGCTGGTTCTACATCAATGAAGGGATCCGTGCTCATCTCATTGAGTTCGGTGGACAAAGCCGAAGTGTCTTCTAGCACTGGTGAGTCGGGATTGTCGGGAGAATTATATTGGAAAAGCGGCATATCTCTGATTTCATTTTGGATTTCTTTTATGGCTGAAATACAAGGGCAAAAGAAGGTTGACATTAAAAGATCTCCATTAAATGGAGTTAATTTATATGATTTTGTCTTTATTATAGACAGGGAGTGCAATGTTACACTAATGGTGAATTTAATAATACTTTGCATTTGTTCTTCAACGGTTTTGCATGTCATGAAAAATAAGCGCGTAGTTTAAAAATAAACTTTTTGCTGGCTTTTCTTCTTCTCATTTTCAGTCTTGTTTTTCAATATTCTTGTTGTAGGACTTCCTTAATAGATTCCTATCACTACCGCATTGAGTCTGAACTTCTATTTGAAAAATAGCGAGTAAAGTTTTACTTCATAGTCTTCATAGTTTTACGTTTTGGATTATTAACATCTGTTTCATAATATTGTACTTTTGATGCACTACCTTCATTTCTACGAAGATCCTGTGATACATTTTCACTTAATTCAGCACTGCCAAAAGCTAGTATTTAAAGTTCCATTTAACATTTGTAACACCAATAAGAACTTATGGAGAGCAATAAAGATTTTTGTTGGATTCATTAACTACTAACCTCCTGCCATTTCGTTTCCGAACACGACTGCCTTGCACCCAGCTATCTTCAGGCAGTATACCAGCTGCGCTCCCCTTAGGCTGTTGTTTACTAGGGCCGTAGTTACCCTCATCTTGGCCAGTCCCAACCACAGGAATACGTACTCCGGCTGAGTCTCCATGAAGAGCGCTATGACTTCGCCGCTCTTGAAGCCTTGCCGTTTGAAGTACCATGCTATGCGGTTGCTGAACTCCTCGCCCTGAAATAATTATATGCACTATATTAACATGAATGACGCTTTTATTGGACCATAGGGCCCCTAGGATAAGTCTTGGAGAAGACTTCACATAAACAGCGATTTATCTATTCACGAATTTTGAACACCGCTCAATCATCATCACTTATCTATGATAAATAATCCACCTGTAAATAGTATATCTGTCACATTATGTAACTTCTCAAATGCCTATGTATTTAAATGGCTTATCAACAAGAACCAGATAGTTATTTTTAGGTACAGTGAATGCCATGTTTGTGTATAACAATTTTCTGCGCCTCGTTTACATAGCAATAAAAGCTATTATTCAGTGATGCCATTATTAAGAGAGGTAGGGCTCAGTAGATTTTCCGCTCGAATTGAAGCGCTCCTCTGGGGAAGTAACCTCCGCCTTACAGCAGATTATTATATTGTTGTGTTTCTGCTGGTGCATAGGGTTCCAGAGCTCCTCGGTGTAGGGGTTTGGGTCAGGGTAGGCGACGGTGCGAGTGAAATTTTTGTATCGAAAGCGTCTATAAGCTATGTTGGCAGTTTATCACCTTACCGATGACGTAACAGAAATACGGCTTCTGTGAAAATTTCAACTGTCTAGCTATCACAGTCCGTGAGATACAGCCTGGTGAGAGACAGACAGACAGTGGAGGCTTAGTAATAGGATCCCGTTTTTAGCCTTTGGGTAAGGAACCCTGAAAACGCCACTGGCTCCTATTAGAAATAAACAAGTGAACAAACCTCCCGAAACGTCAAGGCTCTGTCGTTCATGACGAAGGCTTTTTTATCCGGCGCCATCTTGGCGACTTCTGCCCACCTGGCCACGACGGTGGTGCCGCGTTTCTCCCATATCCAAATACGAAACATTGTTCTCAAGAGGACCCAAAGACCCCTGAAAGAAAAGAAACAAAACATAACACAATTTATCTTTTTATTGGGAACTTGGTAGCATCCGCCCGCGACTTCCTTCAGTTTTCTGAGAAACCCACAGTAACCAATATTCTTCCGTATAAAAGATCTTTTGTCTCAATTCTGGTCATAAACTATGGGCGTACCAAATTTCATCCAAATCCGTTATTAAGATTTTGCGTGATTGAGTAACAAAAATAGAAACACACAAACTTTTAAATTCACATATTAGTAGAATCACAGAAATTAATTTCTGTGAGTACAATATAATAGGGTTAATAGGATTGATATTAAGAATAATATGTAAATATAGGCTAGTTAACAAGACCCAATTGCACCAAAGTTCCTAAATGGTGGTTTTGGTGGTCTTGGCATCTTAGTGTCGCCGCTCACGGGCCAACGACCACAACCACAAAACGCCGCCACCAGCATATTTCTTGTAGTTTTCATTTTATATGGACTCGCCACACATGGTACGCTCGGTGGCCTCCACACGCTACAAATCGTCGCTGCTCGCTTCTTGTGGGCCACAAGCACCGGCCACTTAATGCGCCGATACAAAACGCCGCCACAAGTCTCTCTCTCTTGCTTTAGTCGGCCGCTGTCGCGCGCTTCAGCTTCTCGTGGCGGCGTTTGTGGCTGTGGCGTGTGGCCCGTGTGCGGCGACACTAACTCTATAAGTTAGATATTAGTGGCGATTTAGACATGATTCTCTAAACCTAAACTTAAATTTGACAACAGTGTATCCTTGTCATTCTCTATACAGAATGTTTAATTTAGTTTTAAGTTTAGAGAATCATGCCAGAATCGAAACCATTACCTTATTAGTCAGAAAAACTTCTTGAGCAACGACCAAAGACAGGGAAGCCTGCGCAGTAGCAATTTTACATACAAAAATGTCTATTGCGCAAGTTTATTGTCTGTGGTTCTGCTCAAGAACTGTGCCGCTGCCTATACTTAGGTACTATCGCAAATAAAATAACATCGCTGACTTTAATTAACGTCTCCTAGTCTATCCGTAACGCGTGACATCACACAAGTACCAGGATACCATCAATGAGCGTTACTAATTCGGCGATTCGGTAAACACATAAATCAGTTGTACAGGTGACCCGCCGGGCCGGGTACGGCTGCCCGTGACGCGCTTACGACAATCATTCAATCATTGACTATTGCTAAGCGGTCGACACCTTTCGAGCCCGCTTCGGCCCTGGTAATTGAGATCATCCGGACTAGGATCTCTGTGATCACGTCCGAATAGGGGGAGGCAGAAAAATATAAAGTAATGTATCCACGCGAGCCAGGAGTTTGGATATTCCATTTTTACTTTTTGAAGTGGTCACTTTTTTGTATGGGTACAAAATGTTAAACCCGCGTCAGGACACGTGGGCTGATCGCGACACGACACGTGGCTTGACGTAAGATAGAAATATGAATTAAGAATTTCTTTCCTTAAATAACCTAACATCAGGCGGTGCATAAAGCATAGGGGAATGGAGCAGCGCACGTATCACTCATATATATGTTTATATATTATATGTTGTGTGTGACGCTCGTAGAGTTTCAACCTTCGCCGAGTTACCCTCCAACTTTCAGGCTCGTTGGGAGCTCAAGAGCACGCATCACGCATCCCACACACACGCACACACACACACACACATATATATATATATATATATATATATATATATATATATATATGTGTGTATATATATATATACATAAACAGCAGAATTTCAATTAAGTTCGTCTACTGAATAATTATTATTATCTAGGCCCATTTGTTAGTTAATATTTTTGCCAATTGCCAAGTCAATCTATTTATTTAAAACACCAAAGGTTTTTAATATTTATATGTGTGTGTTTATGTATGGTTTTTAATATGTTTATGTAAAGGGTAATATGAGTATTTTGTATATGTACATTTACTTGCATTTAAGTATGATTATTTTTATTGCTGTTATTATCTTAATTTTCATTTTATTTCATTTTTAGTTACTTTGCTCTATCGCTATACTTTAGTCTCCAACACACATACCGGTTAACTGGTAGAGAATGCCATGTCCTCAGATAACGTTTTAAATTCCATGTATACTAGTTGCAAGCAGAATAGAAGTTACACAATCATTATGAAGGTAACGTTTAATCAGAGCGTTATCACAGGGATACCACTTTAATATAAGATATATCATACTAGCTGTGCCCCGCGGTGTTACCCGCAGTTTATTAGGGATATTTTCCCGCAGTAAAACGTAGCCTATGTGTCAATCCAGGATGTCACCTAACTCCATACCAAATTTTATTAAAATCGCTCCAGCCGTTTAGACGCGAATAAGTCACAAACATACACACTCGCAAACTATCGCCTTTAATTTTAGTGTGATAGTCTTAATCTAATATTTTACACTAATCAAAATTATTCTTTAGGTTAATTACCGATAAAGTTCCAAGGGAAATAATAATTTTACGTCACTTGTTAATACCAAAAACTTTAATGGCTACTTCATTTAAGGATAAGTGTGGATAGACATACGCTTAGGAAGTATTTATTTATTTGCGACAAAACAACCAAACTGTTTTTGATTAAAATGGTAATGTGTCCAGTATGTAAAATAGTCCCTGTGTTCAAGTATCCTCGAATTTGGTGTCAACGCATGGTTATCCTTGAATTTAAACAATAAATTACCATACCTAATAAATGGAATTGCAAATTTTAATTAACTTGGGATCGTTTATGATAATATAAAATATAAACTAATCTATATATAAAACTCAAAGGTGACTGACTGACATAGTGATCTATCAACGCACAGCCCAAACCACTGGACTGATCGGGCTGAAATTTGGCATGCAGGTAGATGTTATGATGTAGGCATCCGCTAAGAAAGGATTTTGATCAATTCTACCCCCAAGGGGATATAATAGGGGATGAAAGTTTGTATGAAACTTTGTCAATTTTAAAACGATCCGGCTGAGACTTTGCATACAGGTATAAGAATTATAGATGAATGTCATTGTGTATAATACAAGCCTGAGAACTAAAACTGTAGTCTACTCTTCAGCTTTACACCGAAGCGAAACGAGGGCGGGCCGTTAGTAATATATAAAGTCGAGGTGCCCTGCAGTTTCACCCGCATTAATTTAAGGATAAAGGTTATAGTGGGTCACCATTAAAAGATAGTAATTTTTGTGATATTTCAAAACGCACCAGTACTTACTTCCCCTTATTAATAAACAAGGAATGAGTTTAAACTAGTTACGCCGTGTTTTGTTCATGTCACTCAAATGCCATTTGTCATTGAATGGACAGAGGAAAAACATGGAATAACTAATCCAAGCTTATAATTCTTCGTTTATTAACAAGGGTGGCTGAGATTATCAGTGTTTCCACAATGAGGGGAAATTAGGGTCCAGAGGGGAAGAAAAAGGGGAAAGGCATGAAAAGGGAAAATTGCGGGAAATTATGGGTAAAGCCTAGCCTAAAATAATGCGGCACGGAACAAATTTTTTATGGAACGATACCGTGGACTAGAGTGTTGCCGTATAAAAGAAATTGTGGTAATACGTGCAGATTTTATATATTTTATTTATCTTTTATAGAATAAGATAGATTAAAACCTTTTTTTTCTTTAGTTACTACACTAGTGCCAAATGTAAAAACTACAGCAGAATAATTTTTGAGGGGAAAAATGTCCTAAGAAGGGGAAATCTGAATTGAGGCGTGAGGAAAGGAAATCATTAAAATGGAAACACTGCAGATTATCGTGTTCAACTAAAGAAACAAACTCATTACTCATCAATTTTATAATATTAGTTGAGATTTGTTAAGTACCCCTCTAATATAAGATACAGAATGGCTCTGGAATAATCATTCACTAAACTGATGACTAGACCGCCACCGATCTGTAGTAATTCATAACTAACTGCTAGTAATAAATTCTTTAATTGCAATTTTTGTATTTCCAGCCGGCTTAACCTTTAAGTGTATGGCATATTAAAGAATAAAAAAAATGTTTGTGTTAAATACATATTGTTGTAAAAAAACCAAAACAGCAAGGGTCCAAATTTTTCCCGTTTTTTTTTCTCCAAAATGGTAAAAAAAATCAGTGTTGTTTTTTTATTTAGATTACTAACCTTGACCCCGTGATTTTTTTTAGTTAATTTATTGATATTAACGGTATTTCAGCAGTGGAGTTTGAGATAAAAATTAAATTTTATCTCCACTGCCCTTAATTGAATACCTTAATTTGCCTTAATAAAGGCTTTAATAAAATCTTACTACGATGAAGATTAAGGTAAAGGCAAAGTACCAGACAATCATGAATTTCTAGAGGTAGTTATGTAATTTTAGTCGCTCCGCCGGACGCGGGTCATAAACACATTGTGTACAGTCTCGATTGGACCTTGAACCCTCATGATTTCCTAGTAACTTCAATATTACTGTACTAGTAAATGATTTGCAGCCGCACAGAGAAATTACCAAATTAATTTTTAAATCCGATGCTGTCACTTTTTAAGAATGGATGTTGATATTTTTTTTTCTACATCTATCATGTAGGTACCTGTAGGTACCGAGATAACCAAAAAGTATTAGACACTTATTTTTTCTTTTTTCACATAATCATAACATTACAGAGATATATTGATTTGAAATGTCGCATGACATCAAGTCTTGGTACAATTTATACTAAAAGTGACGTCACTTTTTTTGAAGTAAAAAAAATGGTACAATTTTTACTTAAGAGTGACGTCAATTGCTTCCACTCCTCAACTTGGATACTCATTTTCTTTATCATTTTTGGTTGATTGAGAAAAAATATTTAGGTTCTCAAGTCAACGCATAACTTTTTACAGAGTAGTCCGATTTTGATAATTCTTTTTTAATTGGAAAGAGTGTACCCCGGAGCAGGTCCCATATAAATTTGGAATAAAATTCAAACCCGACTCCAAATATTAATTTGACTAAACATAAAAAAAGTTTATTATTTTTTACTTTATGGCGGTTTAGTATTTTTGTTACAAAGTTTTTAATTTACATTTTTTTGTTTAATTTTATCAAAGACTTCACTTTGCGTTAGGCAGTTAGGATTCATAAATGATGCCTACTTAACATTACAGATCATACTTAAAGATGTATGAATGATAACGATTTACGATGACACACAGAGACTGCGATTAAATTAAACGCTTTTCGGTCTCTCAAATAAAGTGATAAACTGAAACTAAAAAATCTATTGAAAGAAATTAGAATCAGATTAACTTTCTGGTATTAAGTAGGTAAGTACAATTACTTTTTACATGTGGTAGTGGTAGGCCGAACTTTACAGACTCTACACCTTCGTGTTAGAAGGGCTTGGCCACGGTAAGGCCGTTTCGTAATGAACAAATAACAGAAAAGTAATGAACAGTGGATAAAATTTTCTCCTTACGCCCATGTGAATGTAGCGAAATTGTCAAGCGGCATTTTTGGAGTATACTCCTTAAAAATCGATTTGCATATATAAGGGGCCCCGTATGAGAAAAATGTGAGGAGTAAAATCTATCGATGAATGACCTCGTTACGTTTTTGGTGCGCATCCTATGTCGCGCAACTTTGACAAACAAAGATGACGGATTGACATTAATATTTTTTTTAAATCTGAACTGAATTTAGATATTGTTTCTGATAGAGCAATGGGGACAACGAGATATGGTACAACCATTGATGCGGTATTTTCAATATTCGTGAACCACGTATCTACGAAGGTCCATGCGTCTTATTTTAGTTACCATAAACCACTTGTCACTGTAATTAATAATGCAGACAATGTTGATTTAATTAATATTTAAAAAAATGATAATAGTCTGATAATAATAATTACATAATTTATCAACATTCCTAATGATATATTTATGCACATCTGAAATTGACTATTGTAAAAAGTTTAATGTAAAATATTTCGTCGTTAAGTTATAATAAATGTATATGAAATGAATAAATATATATTTATATATGTATATTATTTTCATTAATTTGTTAATTTACCCTTTCATACAGTATCAATCTTTTTTAAGTTAAATAAACTCTTTTTGCGTCTGGTTAGACTATCGAACTTAGGGAGTAAACTCCAGTCGTGCGTCGGAGCTGACACACACAATTTTTTTGATTAAAGTACAGTCTGTGAAGTTAGCCCTTGTAGACTTAGCGTGTGTAGAGTTAGTAAGGTTGACTCTTCATGAGATCTGATAATTTTTTGAAAGTAAGAGTCATATAGTTTCGTCTTGAGAATATTTTACATGAAAATGTTTTAGTGGGATCTCTTCTTTGCTTTAAAAAAAAGGAGTTGCGATGTTTTACATCAGCCAAGCGTCCCGCTATATTTTCTTTCGCAACCGTATTTTTAAACACGGCTAAAGTTACCTTCAAAAAGCCGGCCATTAGATAGGTGACCAGATTCAAAACAGTGTCCATAAAGAAGTATGTTTACTTTCTTCTACACATTGTCGTGAACTGATTCATCGTTTCAAAAGTGTTGTTTTTAAAACGAAAGTCCAGTCTCTGTTGTATCTGTTAGTACATACAAACATGAACGGAACGGCCGGACTTTGATACCAGGGGACAATGAATGAGTGGAGGCAATGCGACACCGCCGCAGTTGACCTCCACGATAACCGCAGGTCGCCGCGTCAAATTAACGCTACGTATTTTCGATTCATGTGGCCCTGGTGATATCTAGATTTTCTAGTTCCTAGTGATCTCAACTTAGACTAAAGTAAAACCAGGACTAAAACTGATACTCTCACTTATGTTTGCTAAAAAGAAGACAGAGCCAATATAACCTTATTAAACCAAGACTAACTTTAGTCCGTATTTTGGAATAATGCAGTTTTGGTTTATATAGTTAGACTGATTTTTCTAAGCGTGAGTTGCACCAACTTACTTTACCTACTGCTCAAATAAAAAACCGGTTAGGTAAAAATGGGTTGCACCATTTGACGATAGTCAAAGTAAATAATAATAATGAGGTTATAATTTGCCAAACGAGCTTGATTAAAGTCATAGTAAAATGTGAATAAATTGTAATACGTCAGCGTAATAGATAAAAGGCAGAATGAGAGAGTGTAAAAGCAATTTTCGTGTGTCAGGAAGAACATTAATCTGTAAAGAGATCTTAACGAATTGGTGACTCTATGTAAGACGAAATCGACATGGTCTATCCAAAAAAGTTTATCATCTACAATCACACCTAGGTCCTTTGCTAGAGCCGAGTAAGGAATGATAACACTATTGTAGGATACAGAGGTAATCGTAGTAAGGTCAAGTTGCGACAGTAGACGAGAACTGCCGTCTATTATCCGCTGAAACTTGGCAGGATTGACTACGATATCGAAATTAGCTGGCCAGCCACTGATAACAATGAGATCATATTTAAACTTGCAAGAGCCTCATTCAAAGGATGGCTATCGCTGTGGCCATACAACTGCAAGTCATCAGGATACAGATGGTAATAAGAAGTCAGGAGATCAGTGAGAGTATTGATGAAAAGCGAAAAGAGAGGAGGAGAAAGTATACCGCCTTGTGGAACACCAGCAGTCAGCACCAGAAGTATTAGAAGTTTTTTTATTTAATTCAAGTTATCAACGATAGAAATACTCTCCTATTTATAAAAATGAAATATTAACAAGGAACAGCATGTTAGAATCAATTACAATAAATTAGTGATACAATTAAATACTATAATTTAAATAAGTCAAAGTCATTTAAATAAGTCAAGAAGTGTTACATCTTTGCTTATTATAAACCAACTGTTCTTTAGCATATTTAATACTTTCTTCGTATACGTTTACTGGTTAAGGCAATAAAAAAAAATCTCAAAGACGCCACATTTGGCTTCAGTTGGGACTGAGACATTTATAAACAAAAGCACTTGTTCGCCAACCTACTACAATATAGAAATATAATATCCGAATACAGTAGGTACGGTTTTACTGTCCGTATACGAAAAAATAGTAGATAGACAGCGCTTCACACGGCGTGGTACAAAAAAAATTAAACATCACTTACAGCGTGTCCCTCGAGAAAGTCTTCCTCCATATGTACACCCATTGGTACCTATCGCCTGTCATCATGTAAGTGGCCAGTATCGCCACCGCACCCAGCATGGTGTTGGAGCTCTGCACCAGGCATGCTAGTATAGTACACACTATAGCTATCGATGTGATCACGATGCCCTTATTGTTCTCGGCCTCCTCGAAACGAACTCCTGACTTTTCTGCCATCCTGGTAGTTCACATTAGTGGTAACGAACAAAGTCTGAAAAGAAAACAATAAATCACACTAATAGTAGGAGAGCTAGTGAACTCTCCGAGTAACGGAATGTCTGTAAGGCTAAAAATTGTTATGGTGATGAGTCATTGTTGAATAGCCTCGCGTATCATCCTAGGAATGAATCGTTGTTCAGTTGCAAGGATCTGTGGTTTATTAAAATTTAATGTAATGGTTTGGTTCCCCTAATGCATTTTCACACATTGCAGACTTATTATCGATACGACCCTCCAATTTTACTGTTTGATAAGCTGTCTCAATAACACCACCGAGTTCACGTTACGCCTCTTTCTCACACTTCCATAGCATCTTTCTCCTCACTTGTCAAGGACTTATGCTAGAAAGATCCGCCTGTCATTCTACCTACTTACTTTAAATCGCTTACACAAACACATTATATAAATTTCAACTTTTCAGAATTAAGTTTATTTTAATTTATATATTACACACCCTTCGGTTCATCTGTCGGGTACTTGAGCATAGCGAAAACGTCTGTAATTTTTTTTTTTACTTTAAAATATTAATAAATTAACTAAATTGTATAAAAATATCAAGCTTACAGCAACAAGTTTTTTTTATATATTGTCGACCATTTCAAAAATATAGGGCTTGATGACGTGCAGGTCTGAGACCTGCCAGGCGATGCTTACCGCAATAAACATGCTATGACTCATCACCATAACAATTTCTAGCCTTACAGACATACCGTTACTCGGAGGGTTAACCAGCTCTTGGTCTATAATGGCTTGCGCAGGCGAGGCGAGGAGTCCGCGAAAGACACAGGACCCTGAATCGTGAAAAAGAAAACGCCAAGGACTCAACGCACAGCACACGATGTGCGAACATTTGTTAATCGAAAATTTAGAAAAGTATTAATTAGTATAATTTAATTATTAGTATAATATTAATAAATATTCTCAGATAACGTCGTAAAAAGTAAAGAAGTACTGGGAACATCTCTTTAAAACCGATCGCGCCCAACGCGTACTAGGACTAGGCACAAGTCATTATAATTATCTCCGCCAATTCTTTACTTATTTTTTACAATTTTTGCTTTAGATTTTTGCCGTTACCTATACATCGGTTTACAAAGTGTTTTTTTTTTAAAGTGGGCCGTAGTGCCAGATTTTAAAATACGCCCCTGCCTAAAAGTTATGCTATAACATAATCCACGGTGCTTACTTTGGTGTGCTTTGAGGCGGCTACGCTAATTAGTGTGAGTGTAATAAATATTGATTACTTAATATTATTGTTGTTTATTATCACACTAATATTATAAAGGCGAAAGTTTGTCAGTGTGTTAGTTTGTATGTTTGTTACTTCTTCACGTCTAAAGGGCTGGAGCGATTTTAATAAAGTTTGGTATAGAGTTACCTGACACCCCACACCCTGGACTAACAAATATACTACGTTTTACTGCGAGATAATATTCCTAATAAACCGCTGGAAACACCGCGGGGCACAGCTAGTTATTGATGAGCTTGCTAGTGCGGTAAACTATCTTGTCAAATGAACTCCATTTATCGTTAACACCAGTTTTAGTGACCTTTAGTTATTTGTTATGCTATATCTATAATCTATATTACGCTGTTTGAATCTGTGAAATTCGCAGTTAATATTTACTTTGTTAAAGAAAAACCGGCGGCGGTCAATATATTTAAACTTATATAGTACGAAAATTTATTTGTGTTATAGAATTAATATTATTCAAATAAAAAAGTAATATGATTATATAGGCTGGTATTTAAGTTATCTAATCTAATAACAAGAAACAAAGCCAAGTACGCGATATCACATTTGTTTTTATAGTAACCTTGATAATGACCCAATTATCAACAAACATTTGTCATTCTATTTCGTAAATTGAATCACACGACGTGAATAAAAGGATGTATTAAAATAAAAAATATCATACTTAATAATAAACGTTGTTACGCAAATTAAATATGCCGAAGTAAATTTTGCCTTTTATTACTGATTAGAATGTAGCACATTTTTGGATAAAGGAAATAACTAAATCTATTTATTTATAATCAGTGACAACCAAAAAGGTATCCAAAATAAAATGAATTCTGAAACAAAAGAATATCAATCTTACCTCAATACAGCTAGAGAAGCACAATGACAAAATCTTAAGTATCGAAAGTAACAGTATTATAACGGTTATTGGTATCGTGTTGGTACGTGCGCACGATTGCCCGCAAATGGGGCGACTGGCTCAAAGATTAGTTTAGTATTGTATAGTTGGGTGTATAGACCGGTTGTACAGGCGGCAATCAGTGGCTAGCTTGTGCTATACTGCACAGTGCTGGCTGGTATAGTTGCATGTTATGTTACAATACTAGGTAGTATCGTACCAAAGTCTACATCCATTGATATTATATGTACGGTTAGTACTTCTGTACCCTTAGTACGAGTTTTACAATTACTAAAACTATGACAGTTTTCGTGAGCTCGTACTGGGTACTAATTTTATTGTTTTCGTTTCAATACAAATAAACAGTGTTTAAATTCTATAATTAAATCATTTGCATCATCTTAAATTTTAAGTATATTTGGTTACTTTTCACCAAAATGGACATAGAAACTTATTTTACAATTACGAAAACTATTATAGTTTTCGTGAGCTCAAACTCGTACTAAGGGTACTGTAGTAAGAAAGAAACTAAAGTATCGATATAAGTGTTTATCTAGGACAGTGTTTTTCAGTCTGTGGATCGCGACCCCTAGGGGGTCTCGAAGCCTTACTCGGAGGGTCGCCGACTAAAAGAAAAAGGAAAAAAAGGAGAATAATGGACTTGTTTATTTTTATTTTTCAAAACTTGATTATTTTCGAAACGTTAATAATAATCAAATCATTTTCTTATTGCAGTCTATTTCTCTTTCTAGTTTCATTGTCTACCATTGCAGAAAATGTCAGTTCACACAAGTATGAAGTGGCGAATGGCATTCATAATTTTAGAGCTTCCCTTGCCAGCTCTGGATATTCGTGTTTTCTTTCAACCAAAATACGTCGACACTTTGCGAAATTAAATTCCATTTTGAACATGCCATCAGCAGCTAAATCTAGAAGAGATTCTTTCATATTTGTGGTGACATCAGCCAGATCTATTGACTTGTCAAAAAATAGTTTAAATTCCATCTATGCCCATTGTCAGCTTCAGAGTGCAAGTCTGGCAAGTATGACAAAAGTTTCTCTTGTAAAATATGCGCAAACTCTGTATCATGCAAGGAATGTGAGCCCATACTACAAGACTTTGGTGTGATGCGTTATCTTCAACAATGTTCTGAACACATGGAAAAGACTCAAATATATTGTTTTTTGTTGCAAAGAGTTTCAATGACACAAGGGGGTCGAAAGAATTTTTCAACCTGTAAAGGGGTCGCGAAATCAAAAACATTGAAAAACACTGATCTAGGACATACTATAACTCGAATTTCGTTATAAATCTTTGTCATACATTATTATCCAGCAATGTTTCGAACCATGTGAGTGGGAAAGGAACATCAAATGCAAAATAAGTTAGTAATAATTATTTATGATTAGGATTAAGTTGGTTATTACAAACGAGTAGACGAATGGAAGTCTAAGTAACGAGTTTTTAAATACCATTCAATCCAGTTTGCGAAAAACAGTATCTGAACTATAATGAATAATGATGGAAGACGTCCCATCACTATTAATTCAGTATTAATGAAGTAATTAATTGACGCGTAGACTGCACTGAGTACGATGCAAAAGCAAAATACACTTAATCCTTTACGTTTTACGGTTCCTTTTTGAAAAGCCCATGCTTAGATCCTTTATCAACGCCGAGAAAATTTATTGGACCCTATGACAAAATGTGTAGATTATTACTACTCACATCCTTCATAAGGGACAACTGCTCATTTTTAGGGTTCCGTAGCCTAATGGCACAAAACAGAACTTTTATAGATTCGTCATGTCTGTCTGTCCGTCCGTATGTCACAGCTACTTTTTTCCGAAACTAATAAGAACTATACTGTTGTAACCTGGTAAGTAGGTGTAATCTGTGAACCGCATTAAGATTTTCACACTAAAATAGAAAAAAAATCCGGCCAAGTGTGAGTCGGATCGACTGCACCGAGGGTTCCGTACAAACTCAATTTAATAGCTCTACACATTCATGGTAGAAACTTTAAAATTTTCAAAAAAAATATTATTGTATTGTATGTTACTAAAAAAATTCGGTTTACGCAATTTTTCGTTTATCTGCACTATAAAACGTTACTTCGTACCAAATTTCAAGATTCTAAATTCACGGGAAGTACCCTATAGGTTTTGATCCCGTGCGAGTTTCGAAAATTTCCGGCATAAACGGCTGTATTTTTGATTGCTTTGGCTTAGAAGTTTGATTTTTGATTTGATTTTTGGTGTTCAAAAATGATATTAAGGTTTTTAATATATATTTTTTTCTAAACTGAATAGTTTACGCAAGAGACACATCCAAAGTGGTAAAATTTGCGTCCCCCTCTCCATGTAACTTCTAAAATAAGAGAATGATAAAACTAAAAAAAATATATGATATACATTACCATGCAAACTTCTACTGAAAATTGGTTTGAGATCTAGTAAGTATTTTTAGGGTTCCGTACCTCAAAAGGAAAAAACGGAACCCTTATAAGATCACTTTGTTGTCCGTCTGTCCGTCCGTCCGTCTGTCAAGACCGTTTTTCTCAGGAACGCGTGGAGGTATCAAACTGAAATTCATACCTTATACTCAGGTCTACTGTCCCTTGGAGCTATGAAAAAATCAAACTTCTAAGCCAAAGCAATCAAAAGATACAGCCATTTATGCCGCAAATTTTCGAAACTCGCACGGGAATCAAAACCTACAGGGTACTTCCCGTGAACTTAGAATCTTGAAATTTGGTACGAAGTAACATCTTATAGTACAGATAAAGGAAAAATTGCGAAAACCGTAAATTTTTA